CATGTATAGAAGAGTATTGCCGTACTTTTGGTGGCTTCGACTGTGGCCCGCCATGGCATCAGTGCATATCCCTACACCGTGTATGTGATGAACATCCTGACTGTACTTACATGGACAATGCAACAATGGAGTTTTACGGTCCTACTGATGAACAAAATTGTGGTAAGCGATTTTCAGTGTTTTTCTGTACCTTATGAACATTTTACATCTGTTGCAAAAGCTTCTGTAAAACGATGCTGCACTGCAAGAAAGTTTTATTTCAATGACCATGAAATGGGAGAGACTGTTTACCATATTTTACCGTTTGTCTATGTATAACAATTGATCCTATAGATGCACATGTAGTATAATCTGACTTTAATTTTCGCTCTTTAGTATATTGCATTTATAAGAATTGTTTAAATGCTTAATCCGGCAACAAACTATTTACCGTGATGTGCCCTCGACAGCTGGTCTTTAAATAACAACAACCAAAAAAAAAACGCGGCATCTATTTGGTCTTAATTGCAGGAACCTGTGACGGGTATTGGGCTGCTTTGGAAGAGTATAAGGAAAAAAGGAAGGAACAGGGACTAACGACGTCTGACGAGTACAATCATAAGTGCAACTCAGGAAAATGCGCAGCGACATTCAACCTGTGTGATGACCGCGACTTCTGTGGCAACTGGGAGGACGAGCAAGACTGCGGTACGTTTTCTCTCTCTGTTTACCTAAGAACTTAAGATGAGGCATTGCATGAGATAAAGAGGCAGAGTCGGTGAAATCAGTTCTTATGTTGTATCTGTAAGTTACGTGTAACCAAGGACATTATACAGAAGTCTTTACTTTATAGTATCCTTGGTGGAACGTATAACTGAAACCCTTCAGCCATATAACTAAAAACATCAAGCTATTTTTCGTGATCCGGGAGGTTTGGGACCCCCCTCAGAGACAGTCGGTGATAGTGATGATATAGTGTTGACAGTTTAGCACAATGGAAATCTGGTGAGATTAACAGAGAAACACAAAATAAGTTTAAAGTTTTAACTTTAGGTACATGTGATTGAATTAGCCGTGATTAGGTACATGTAATTGAATAAGGTCAGTTTTTCTTTTGTCCGTATGGCTTTCACGATTAAAGGTCTCTTTCCGTCTGCTGTACTGACTAAACGAATAGCCACAAGCAGTTAGCTTTTAATATAGCTTTAGAAGTATTGTTTGGGTGGCCCGATTTAGACTAGGTTTGTATGTATATGTTCTGAAGTGAATATTTTACTTATTTTACAGTGGTTGACGCTGTATACACTATGAATGTGTGAAACGTAGTGTAATAACGGAGTAAGTTTTACTATAGAATCGTGTTAGGGAATTATGTCCAGGAGGTTTGAAATCTTTGGTTTCTTTGCTTTTTCAGAAGCAGTAGGTTGCCATCATGACGATAAAAAATGTGAAGCTACAAAGAAGTGTGTGTCTGATTTGTCCTGTAACGGGCTTCCTGGTTGTCTGGATTCTACGGACGAAAAGGATTGCGGTAGGTGCTTTTACGTATTGTCAATAGATTACGCAAAATAAAGTGGAAATTCACAAAACACGCATGGTACCCTCTTCTTTTCAGATCATCGGTTTTTAGTGTATGTCGCCACCCCCCCCCCATCAAAACAAGAAATGTATAGACAAAGACTACTTATAATATGTCAAAAGTTATAATATATGTATTATTTTAACTCTTTAACTTCCTATTGAGCTACCTGCCCTATTTTATAAACATATCAGATATAACGACCTGCATGGACACGGCGGTACGGTTTGGTGTTTCTGACCAGTATAAAGAAATTGAAGTCACACAAAATTGCGATGGGAAGGACGACTGCAGGACGGGTGTTGATGAGAATCCACGGAGATGTGGTGAGCAAAGTAGCTTTTCCTGCTTTTTTTCTATTGAATACTAATTTATTTCCTCTAACTTGTATAGTAATCTATTTAGTCTAACTTCTGAGAGTTCATTAGGTTTCATTGGATGCTTGATTATGAGGACCTCCGTGCACTCTCAATGCAGTCATTTTTTTAAAAGGTCAATTCGCATCATAGAAGGGTCTGATTATCAAAATAAGGTCAGACTAGCATATAAATTCTATACCAGTTGATTATCTTTTCTATCTACATAATACAATTTATGTAAGTACGTCTTTCAATAATAAAAGGTAATAGCAGCATTTTCTTTACTATTAAAGTGACTCAAAACATGTCCTAAAGGGGGAAATTCCTGTCATCATTTTTTCAGCCATGTACACAGACCGACTGCCGTGCGTCAAATCCAACAGATTTGTGTCGGCAAACAGCTTCTGTAATGGATTTCCTGACTGCCACGATGCTTCAGATGAGGACGCCTGTATTGGTAAGCCTTAATGACAATGGCATTTATTGCATATTCATGCCCCAGTGGGTCTAAATGCACTTTTAGATTACAAAAAGGATTAGGCATACTATGCTTTATTCTGTCTATATCTAAGCTGTACATGTTTCTTCTCTCTTCTTTAGACATTTGTATACGAATTTACAGAGTTTTTCTAATACATCATGGTTAACTCAAGACAATATTTGTATGAATATATCATCCTTTGTTAGATGCGCCCATTTTTGCTCTAACTGTGTTTCAACAAAAAAGGTAGATCGTAGATCGCTATATAGTGGACACTCAACAATAAAGTGGACTTCATTTTCTATAGTATTATATCACAAAATGTACATAACCTATCATTGAGGGGAGTTCGGGTGTATCTACCTGTTTCAATTTGTAGTGGATGGTCGCTAATTCTTAATTTGGTCATCGCACGTCTATGGCTAAAGAGGAGTTGTGTGAACATTTTTTAATGATTTCGGGTTGTCATTATGTTTAGCCATGTCAAGACATGTTGATATGGCGATCTATAACATGTTCGTTCGCGAACGTTCCCTATGGTCTTTTTCCAGTACAACATTAGAATTTCCATTTTATCCCTCCAGTAATTGTAAAATGATTTCAAAACACATTAGAGGGCATATTCAAAATTAAAGATACGAAATCAAAATGCAAAATTTTCCAGTTCTATTCAACGATAACTTTTCATTGTTCACCTGAGATCCTGTTATATACATTAACAATATTCAACTGGAGATTTATCTCGAAATGTAATTAGATTATTAGTTGATTGTGGCACTGCATTGGGCACAGGGACCAGTCCAAATGTCACTGTTGTTAGCTGTTAGAAACACACTGTGATTGATCATTTTGGAACAGTTAGGCAAACCATTGGTAACTCTGTTTAACACAGTTCTTTCCAATGGGATTCAACTGGAGTACGAGGGTAGTTACACCAATCTGCTAGTCAGGCAACAAGTCCAATGTGGATAGTTACCGAGGAATAGCGATCTGAAGTTGTCTGTCAAACCTCTTCACACTCCTTTTGAATAATATAGCAGATTACAGAACTTTGCAGAAAGTTATTGTCTGCTAGCTGACACGCCATTTGTTTTTAGAAAGAAATGCCGAACCTCTGACAATGTTTTTATTCTGAAAGCTTTAATTGAAAAATATCTACAGAAGAAGTGGGGGAAACTGTATGTTTGCTTTGTCGATATGATGAAGGCATTTGACAGCGTGTGGCGGGATGGCCTATTCTATAAACTGTCAAACTATGGTGTCTCCAGTCAACTTTTCAATGTATTCCAATTTATCCCAATTTCTCCAAAATATTGGAAAATGGTGGGACATAACCTCTTCAATTGTTTACAGAAAAGAGGACAAACCCTTCAGACATAGTTTTAGACAAAGTTATAGTTCTAGACAGCTACCTTTCATCATGTAGACTTCATCATTTATACTCTGTTACAATGTTCTTTTATGTTTTGTAATTTGCAATTAGCCTCCGGGCACGAATTTGCAATAAACTTTTCATTAAAAAAACGCAGCAGAACGTATTGAAAAAAATGCCACTTTGTCGTATTCAATTATTGTTGTATAACATTTTTGTCGCAGGCATTGGAGCTTGTTTGCTACCTGTAGATCTACTAGTTAAGGATTATGCAGTTACTGAAGGCTTTGGAGCACGTCATTTAAACCACGGTAGCCGAGGTCTGTCCCTGACGGAATGGGTTGTTGATAACCTTGAGGACTGGCTGCAAATCACCCTTGAACATCCTGTCCAGCTGGCCGCTGTAGTTGTTTCCGGTCCCAGGTCATCACATCCTCCCCCATTTACGTTGAAATACGGGCTTGGGACCGACTGTTTAACAACCTACATGGAGGCGGGTGAAATTAAGGTATCTAATTTCTATTGTTTCTTTTGGAGATCTACAATTTACGTTTTTTAACGTACCTCGACAACAGTTCCATATGGTGTTGATGTATATTACAAAAGTACAAAACTGCTGGCCACACCTTAAAGCCAGTCAGGCCATAAACAAGATCATTTCAAACTTTCAAACACAACTTGTCATCATT